AAAATGAAGCTATGTCAGGTAAATATGTCTAATTTGCATATCTCTAATTTCTATTCTATATACAGATTAGTAGCTTTACAAATTTAGGTGAATTCAGTGTTTTCCATTGTTGGTTGTTCCTATGAATTAAACCCCAAAGCGGCATATAGTTATCTATTGAAAGTCAAAAATGTTTTTCTGGAAATAAAAAGGAACAGCAATCAAGAGATTGTGTTGACAATTTCAGGTTTTTTAGCTTACTTGTTAGTTACTGGTAAGCTAATTTAGCTAATCTGTACTAATGCTACCGTAATTCAATATGTACATGCTACTTTAGAAAAGAGTATATTCTGACAGTGAGATTATTTGTCTTTTATTCATGTATTGAGTATAATTCTTTTAAATGCTATTTACGGTACTTTCAATGTCCTTTGATTCACAGAAAGCCTGACAAAACTGAAGAGGATGAACCCAACTCAGCGTGTCCATACTGTAAATTCCAACTACCAGAGACTGAACTTGTATGTCCTGAATGCAAGAATAACATTCCGTACTGCATTGCTACTGTAAGTACATGTACAACTTATGCTGTCGTTATAGTGAAATGTTTTATTCATAAACTTGTATTTAGAATTGAACATTAATATCTTGTATATCAAGTTAACATTATTTTTTGGAATCAAATAGAATATTAGTATTGTTTTAAATTCAGGAAATAACACATTTTACAGGTTTTTAACATGCTTTATATATGCATGTCAAATGCACATTATTACAGATATTTAAATTTCACTGTAAGAGTGTTTTTTTTTTATAAACGTTGACATCCGTTAATTGTGTATGTCTATCGATTAATGCTATAAATCTTTTATCTGTTGACAGGGTCGTCATTTACTGAGAGATGACTTTACTTCATGTCCTAGATGTGATTTTCCAGCTCTACACTCTGAATTCAAAAAGTGAGTCCTGCAAATTTATATTGTTAATACTTGTTTTATCACCACTTTAAGAGGTGCCAGCCTAGATGGAAGCCACATTATTAATTACCTTTTCTTCAAATGTTTATTTTTTCCTATGAGTGTGCTGCAATTACGTAATCCAAGTGTATCAAACTCTGAAGTGAGAATTTCAGAATGGATAGCAGCAGTTACTCGCATAATGCAATGACAATAACTCAGGAAAATTTATTTTGAAAAATAATTGCTGACAAATGTAATATTTATGCTGATTTTGAAATGTGCATCCACATAAATAATGTTACACCTAATTATCATATGATTCATAAGAGTAGCTCCATAAAATCATGAATTCTCTGTATTTTTGACACTCACCAGGTATCAATTATTCGCAGAGCTCTAGATGATAACCTCATAATAATAATATCATTTGTCATCTTTCCGTTTTGGAATTTTTATTTTCTACCGGGTATTCAGGCAGGATACAGATACATTATAATAACAAACCTATATTTATTATTTCTTCTAGGTTATTGGATACAGAAGAAAACTGCCCCATGTGTTCTGACCGAGTATCTGCGGAGCATTTAAAAATGATTAATGATCCATCCTTGTATTTGCATCCTGATGTTGGAGATGATTAGATAGATACATAGATCCATCAAAAATATCAATTATTTTTTATTTAATGAGGGGAAATTCATTATGCAACAACTATTGTCCTATCTGAGATTGGATCTTCAATCTCTTTTATATTCACTGGGAATTGCTAGATACAAATGATGGGACATGATGCTCATTTTTTTTTCCACATACAAACTATTAGTATATTTGTCATAGCAATGTTTTATAAAATCTTGTTATGGGCATGTATTACTGTGACATTGCTTTGTTTAATATATGACTACAAAACAAATGTTCACTATAAACATAAATACCATTGTATCATATATTTGGAAAGTCATTAAATGTAAAGTCAAATTATTGTTTTCTGTATTGCATAATATAAATACTGAATGTAAAATGCTTTTTAAGTTAATTGTTAGTTTCCACATGTTCTAGTGCAATTAATGTGTACCGTACATGTTTGTCATGGCAAAAAAACAGTGTTTTCAATATTTTGTACAAATTAAAATCTGATGGGTCATCCATTAACAAAACAAGGCTTTCACTGATTACTTCATGGTTTGTGTTATGGTTTTGTAGAATTTAATTTTACTTATAAAACTCCCTCCTAGTGTTCAATGTTCATTTTGTCTTGGCCTTGTATTAATAAAAAAAATCACAGTTTTGTTTTAATTGTTTTCATGTCATTCCTTTTTTTCTTTTACCAAGGACACTGCAATATACTAGAATAAATTACAAAGATTAATACATTTTTGTAATATGCAATATTGCATTATTTCTTCAAGATAAATTCAAATATTGTAAAACTGCTATATGAACTTTCAGAATGCTGGCATGAATTATTTTATGTACATTTCTAAAATTCATCTTTATAGATGATCTTGATATTTTTTATTTGAATGATTTAGTTTGGTCATGTCAACTTCTGTACATTTCTACAGTAGAAGAAAATGTAATAAAATATTATCTTTGTAAAATATTTTGCTGTTGTGTGCTTTTACCTGAAATGTCTTATTTATTTCTATTTTTAAAACTCGCATTGCAAGTCATTCTTTTTCTACAATTCAATAAAATTGTACATTAATGTTAAAAGTAACCCTGAAATAATGAGTTGTGTGCAAACAATCGATGAAATCTGATATATTTGGAGTAGTTAATTCATAAAAGTGCTTTATATGTTTCAACAGTGTTGAATTGAATTCTGTAAGCAGCATTTTTGTAATATGTGTAATAAGACTGGCACCACAATTCCATGCTTATTTGCAAGAGATTTGAATTGTGCGTTCATTTAACAATTAACGGAATTACAAGTACAATGTAATTAACGAACGACAGTTTAGGGACTGGAGATGGTTAAATAGGGGGCAAATTTGATCAAAATGTCTATGATATTTTTATACTTTCACGTAGTAGCAATTCCAACAGGGTACGGTATGTATACACTTCTAGTTTGTATCTATTTTTTTGTTTTAAGATCAGGGGATAGCGCGTACGCAGTCCCCCACTAACATAAATTATGCGCCCGAGTCACCCGCATTTGGGGTGATCGCAGGTGTCAGCCCAGCCGGAGTGCAATGGGAGGGCCTCTCCCTGAGGGAACCGCCTCCTTGATCACGGTTAACCCCTACGCCAGGTAAGTATGCTAGACTTTGATTCTGAAGGGAAACTATATCGGTTGAAGCAAAAAACACACTACGGTGAGTCATAAGAACAAACACATATAGCCTATTATAATCTGTATTTGTTTATGTTATTCTGGTAATTTAATAATGTTTTTTTAACTATAAGTTACTATAATGTAATTAATCATCTAAGATTATTTTACGTTCCTGAAAACCCGGTATGTAATGAAAATCACGACTAATACGTCACAAAGGATTCTGGGTGAAACTAACATGCAAATATGGGCCTTAGCTCTCTTGCTCATTTCCACCGCCTGTGGCGCACTGCGCTAAATTACAATCCTCGGGGCGAAGCTCGAACTCCGAACAGTTCGATACGCGTTACTTATACTACATGTAAAAGTTGTCATACTACATGTAAAATGTTTAGACATGCACTTAACTAGTAATATTTATAATTACGCACGTCACGCACTATACTAGGATAATAACAATCCAAGATGTTTTCTACCGACTACTTGACTAGGGAATCGAAATCAAATGAAATTGATAATCGAATGATATAATATTAACACAGTTAAACATGTAGACAATGGCAGTTCAGTATAGATATGTATATTTAACAATTGTGTGGCGATTATAGAATTGACAATCCAAGATTGATTATCATTACTCAGTAGTTGTTTTGATTTAAAGTCTTTTACCACTGTTTCATGTAGCACAAAATATCTCAATAAATTGTTGGTGACATAGAGTGACAAAATTATATTTGTTTTACAAGGTTTAGTAAAAGTGAACCAATACAGATTTGGATATAATAAATACATGTACATGCATTGAATAGAATAGAATATTTGATTACAAATTAATTTTCCAAGACTACGTGTTATAACAATAAACACAATCTAAAATAGACGTAACTAATTTGACTACGATGGATAAAATAAACTTATTTGCTGAAGAACAATTCAACCACTAAACGATTCCACATTTTTTCCAAGCCTTTAGCACAAATAAATAAAAAAATCATTGAAACAGATTAGCATTCTGTCTTTAAAAAATCATTTATTTTTTATATTTATTTTTCACATTTTAATAAGGGCACTCCGTGGGAACTAATTTATTGATTTCGTCTCTATAGAGGGGCTGTGATTTTACACAAGTGAAGCGTGAAACAGTTTTATGGTTTCTCATATTGAAATCATTATAACTCTGAAGATAATCATTCTTTTCATTTTTTTTTTCAAATTGATAATCAACATACACACAGATATCAAATTAGGCTCTATTTAGTTCCCCTTTAACTTCGGTAATCTCGTGAGGGCGCTTCAGTTGTGAGTGTCAGAGGTCGCAAAACAACATGGCGCATCATAGTCACGGTACGGATACGAACAACGAGAAGGGAATAGATCCGAAATCTGGCGATGAAAAGAAACCAGAGGAGGGCGGACAGTTGATGAGGTTTCCGATAGATATATTCCAAGCATCAAAGACAGGGTAAGTGCCGATGCCAGCACTGATTGTCGCATTTTAGGGTCGTGCAACATGAACCAACGAGCGTCACTGAGTTGAGACATGAAAGTCAGCTCGGAATGCGACTTTGTATTGACATTGTTGGCCTATAACCAGGAAATCAAAACCGTACATTTGTTCCCTCAATACATAAAAACGTTGATCTTTTATGAATTCAATTCGCATAATGCCACGTTATCTTGTTTATGCTATTTTTATGTTTTTGGTTCGTGGCAAACTTGTAGTCGGGGTAAACAAACACCTTTTGTAAATAGCCGGTTTAGAGCCGGCACGTTACCAACACACACATGCTTCAAATATTTGCTTTGTACATAACAGTTTGGTTGGAAACGACGTAAGAACGAAACCTTTAGTTGATTTCTTAATATGTAATTAATACATTAATATTTTATTATTACACGGCGGAAGTATCTAACATTTGAATGAGCTGTAGCTTCTATTATTTATTGATTGACTGAGGATTGAATTCTTGATATTTAACAGTTGTGTAAATATGACTTTTTAATTGTGTGACATTGTTCTATATATTGTTCACTGATGTCATAAACTTGAACTTGAGGAGTTTATTTTTAATTAAATATGACAGATGTGGATGCAATTGTATACTCATAAGAGTAGCTTAGCTTGAACGTTCAAATCAAGAAAAAAGAAAACATACAACAGGTATACTAAGAATGTGGATAATAAGCAGTTTTATTTTTACCTTTCTTGTATCATTAGATGAAGGACAGGTTTATGGAGGAGTGATGGTGATTCTGTCCTTCTCATTGTGCTTGTTTATGTCTTAGAGTTTTATTTCTTGTAGTTGTAATAACTCAATTTTAGTGTGAATATCAAGTATAATTTTCAAGATATACATAAAAATTGGGCTAAAATAAATTAAAAAAAAATTAGACAGAAAATAAGTGCAGAAATGAAGACATTTGAATTTTTAATTATGAGAACCAAATCTGTTACTTACTGGATTCGGATGATACCCCGCCCATCCTAAACCCCGCCCAAATAGTGGGCGATGTTTTGGTCCACACATTGCCTGACTGAACCAACAAACATTTTTACAGACCCCAATTTTCCCGTCCGACATCTTGTATCGAGCGCGCTATTTCAAATATGACGCTAAAATAATTCACTGTGAAGTCGAAAAGCATTAAAACTTCAATAAAACCATTGCTGTATACGAATTGTTATTGCGTATTATGACTCGTTAAAATACATTTCACTTATACGTTTATTACACTCGAATAAAGTCTACACTTGAAAAGAATGTTATTTACAAAGTTTAAAATAATCAAGCCTTCCTGGTTTGAGCCTCTTGGCTGTTATCAGTAATGTTTAATCTTTGTCTGTATTGCATTCCAGACAAAAAGTCAGTAAACAAGAAATGGGCGAACTAAAATGTCTCCTGCGTTTCACATGCGACATGATTATTAAAAAAGACAGAGTTAAGTGGTCATGTACGTTCTATAAAGCTAACCTTGTACACATAATCTTGTTCTGATGTGTTTTTTGTCCAAAAAGGACGTTCCCTTTCAGTGCTTTCCAGAGTTTATTATATTATAGTAAAATTTAACTTGACGCATGGTATGGTTTATATTACATGTTCACTTCATTTCGAATAAAAGAATCACCATTAGAACATTGATGAATCACAAGTATTTAAAATATTTTCTCAACTTTCTGTAGATACCCGACTGCTATCATTTTTAATGATTTAAATGCGTCCATGTTTATGTTTGCGTAATTATTACGAATGCAACGCATTATCAAGTCGGTAATATTGAAATATTCACAGACCCAATACCCCGGGTCAGCATTCTAACAATAGTAAAAATTAACTTGAGTTTGCGTAATTATCATGAAAGCAATACATTACAAAGTTGAAATATTCATAGCTG